TATATATATATATATACACACACACACACACACACACATATATACACACACATATATTTTTTTGTTTAAACACAGCTACCTCTTTTCATGTTGCCCCTCCAGCAAGGGATGCAGGTTATGCAAAAAAATAAAGTAAAAATAAGAGAGACTGCAAACTATCCTGCAATCCAACTTCAATGCAGCCTGGAAACCAACTAGCCAGTTTAATAGGAGGGCCGGATACACAAAGGCATTTAATGCAAATGTGTCATATGAAAGAAACAGCAAAGTGACAAAGTATACAACCCAAAGCAAGGAGGACAATGGAGCCATTAACCCTTTGCAGCCCTGCACTGGTGACACTTAATTGAGTCATCTGACAGCAGTGATGAGGCTTATGGAATGAATGCAATGCTGGCTGATAGAAGATGATAATGTGTCTTTTTATGTTGAGCTAGGAGCCAGCTGTAACCCTGACCAGGGACTTCTAATTTTTTTTTTTTTAGGCTGTGCTATCACATCTCAGGGCGTCTCAGGAGTTGAGTCCCTCTAAAAGTCCTGGGTGACTAGCAAAGGCTTAACACACAGCTCCTCCAATAAATACCACAGGCTCATAAAACGGGGAAGTTAGCTAATGGGACCTGTAGAGTTAACACATGCCTGTAAAAGCACCATTATATTCTGCTAACAATCTCTAGACATGGAGCAAGATAATCAGAGGGAGACACACAGGCTCCAGTGCTGCCATTACATGAACATCTGGGCAACAGTTCACATGTCACTAAACTCCCTCGTCTGCCACCCTAAAGCCAACCCAGGCAATGCCAACAGAGACACAGGGCAGCCCTGGCATCTACCCACAGAAAAAGGATCAAGGGTACTTCTAAGACAAAGTAATAGAAGATAATGGGGTTAGATACAGAACAGACATCACGGCAATAGTAGACTTGTGTAGAGAATGAGGGGCCAGCATACAATATGGGGGTACAGTATGAGGGGCCAGCATACAATATGGGGGTACAGTTCAGAGATAGAGGATGGATGCATCAAAGAAGGAAGAGCTAAGCATGGGGTGAACTTTCCAATTAGGGTGTAGAGCAGCATCAAGGCAGTTAAGATGACACTGTTTAGAATGGGGGGAACTGAACTGTTGTGGCACATGTTATGGGGTTTCTGGGGCATAAAAGTGGCACATAGTATGTTTAGGGGTACAGAGTATATTTGTGGGGAGAGTTTATAAATGGACACAGGACACTGAGGAGCTATAGGACAGAGAATGCATTGGAGGGTCACCATCTATTATGGGTCACACAATATACAGGGGTAAGGGAGTATATGGGTATATAAGGAGAAGGGGTATATTGCAGGGATATCATTTAGGGTTGTAGCACATATAAACGGGCATTTGCTATATTTAGGGGGTCACACTACAGGTATCGAGAATGTATAGGACCACACTTTACATTATGGAGGATACATTTGGATATACACAGTTCATTATTCAGAGTATATGAATGGGGGATTCATATATTTGGGACATGATGTACTTTTCAGGGTGGAGAATGTACAGTATATAAGGGAATAGGGTCTCTTCAGGGGTACACAGTATGTAAAAATGCTACAGGTTACAAATGAGGGCACCGAGTAGTATTAGGGGTGCAGATGATATAAAAGTACAGGGGGTGTAGAGAGGACACACTGCAGGGTATCTTTGAATGACAGGGCACACGGGCTTGGCACTGCCATCGCTGTCATGAGGATGGAGAATCAGAGCTTATTAGAGGGCACCATATATGAGTGCGCATTGTGTGGGGGGGCCCGGCAGATTTCGGGGTACATAGTCTACATAAACGACATACTGTGGCACAGAGGCCAAAAAAAGGCATGTGTAGAGATTGGGGTGCAGAGTCTATTAGGAGGGCTCATATTATAATGTAGATAGATGTTAGGGAGCAGAACTTATCACAGAGCACACGCTATACTGGGGAGCAGACAGATGTCGGGGTGTAAAATCTATTACAGTAGAAATAGTATACTAGAGGCAGATGTTAGGGAGCAGAACCTATCAGGAGAGCACACGTTATACTGGAGAGCAGACAGATGTTGGGGTGCAGAATCTATATAAGAACATATGCTATTCTTGGGGAGGGGGGCAGATAGATATCGGGGTGCAAAATCTATATAAAGGCACATGTTATATTGGGAGGTAGACAGAGATGTCGGGGTGCAAAGTCTATATAAAGGCACATGCTATATTGGGAGGTAGACAGATAGAGATGTCGGGGTGCAAAGTCTACGTAAGGACACAGAATAGGGGGAGCACACAGATGTCGGGGTGCAGGACACATAGAATAGGGGGAAGCACACAGATACAGATGTCGGGGTTCAGGACAGAGACCACACACAGTAAGCACCCACAGAAGGGGGCACCCAGCCTGGCACTGCCCACCCTGGCAGTCCTACCTAGCTCGCACAGCCTGCTCAGGTGATGCGGGTTGCAGCAGAGCAGCTCCGGGTTGTTCTTGCCATACGACTCGCAGCAGCTCAGCCTCTTGACCTCGGCCGAGTGGCGAAGATCGGGCCACCTGAAGACCTTGCCGAACAGCAGGGGCAGGGAGAAGGGCTGCTGGCACAGCCTGGAGTCCAGCTTGGCAGCGGGCAGCAGCAGGCAGGGGCTGCGGGTTCCTCCTCTGGACTCCACCGCCTGCAGCAAGCCCTCCAGCTGCCTCTCCTTAAGCCTCTTGAGCACGGAGTGGGTGATCGCCTTCAGTTCAGCCTCGGAGCCCAGCTGAGCCCGGGGCACCTTGCCCGTCTTGCCCATGCAGCAGCCCCCATGCTGCGCCGCCCGGCTCTCTCCTTCCCCAGCACCTTCCCCCGACTCGGCGGGAGCTCGGCTCCTCCAGAGTCGCCGGACGAGCACCGATCGTTTGGTCCTGAACATGCGGGACGACAGCAAGGCTTCCCGGCTAAAGAACGTGCATGACGCCCGCAAATCATGAAGGAGCCTGGATCCGAGGCCGGCCAGAGACAAGCAGCAGCAGCAGCAGCCCGGGGAGGACCGGGGACCCGACAAGCCAAGGCGATCTGGAACATACGCCAGTCTTTTTGGGGAGAGGGGATCCTTGGTAAAAGGTGGAGGTATGGGGAGGGGGACACAGACAGATCCGATCAGATCGGGCTACGATGGCACCGTACACCGCATGCCAGGGCTGCCTCTGCAATGGGCAATCATAGAACTCCCGATAGAATGAAGATCTCCGGGTCTACACCATCCGACACACCGATCACAGCCCGGAGGATGGTGCTCAGACTTCTCTGTATAGGAAATGATAATAATAATGTATATCCGGGGTGCGGGGAGACCACAGCGTCCTCTTCTTCTCATTTAATCCACAAGAATCCTTCATCCGGCTGCCCGGGAGGAGAAGAGGAGAAAAATAAAGCAGCTCAGCGCCTCTCC